TAAACAAAACAGCTGACACATAGCCACCCAGCTGACAAAAAAAAAAATGCTGATGGCCAAAACTCACAACTCTGGGACTCTTCATTAGATCTAAGCGCTCGGTTCACACTGCCCCCAAGATGGCACAGCCCCCAGATCTTCTCAGGCACCACAGGTTCGAACCCAAAGGTGAGGGCGAAAACACACCATGGAAACAGGAACAGGCCTTGACTTCATTTCACACACAGTACTGCTCCCTGTTTTTCTCAACCTGAGCTAGATAAAGAAGCATTTCATGATTTATTTTGCAGGTTGTAAAATAATAATTTGCCTAGTTTGTCAGATGGCTAGGAGAAATACTCTCATCTTTCTGTGGATTCTACCATCTGCTGGAAAAATAAGAACTGCCCAACCTACTTCCTTGGAGCTGAATACATTTTGTCCAAGCAGGACAAGCTCCAGGAGCATGTTGCATCTCATTCCTGGCTGAGGGACACCCTCTCGGCCTTGGATACGAGGCTTTATCTCGGCTAGGAGAACAAGATCATTATTTCATGAAAATATGAACATAGTATCTCCTTTGCCTCCCTCACAGAGCAGCCTCTCTTGGGACTGCATACAGTCCCACTTTTTGCTAAGAAGGGCACAAGGAGACAAGGATGTAAGAGCTCCCATGTCTTCAGACCCTGGACCACAGGTTTAGTACTTCCCAGTTACTGTGAAGAATAGCACACTTTCGAGGGCCAGGACCCTCTGAAGGACAGCTTCTTGCACCATCAGGTCTGGCCAGCCCCTCTCTTCACTGGCGTCCTTGAGCTCTTCACCAAGCTGGTACACAGTTGTCATAGTTAATGTCAACACAGACCCAGGAAGAGAGCTTATTCAGTAAGTCAACAGAGACTGAATACCACTGGAAACCTCTCCCAGAGTGAGTCAGCACCTCAGAACTTCAGAAAATTATCCTCTGAGTGATGTGACAGCAATTGAGGGCTAGAGGGGACGAGAGAGCAAGGGAGGCTGCTCCACAGAGTCCTTCTCTGTGACCTCTGTAGGCCACTATCAACTTCTGTCAGAAACTTCGAAGAATCAAAGTCTAGAAGGGATCATTGGTTCAGTCCTTGCCCTACACACGGCTAACTCCAGTGAAGCCGGGGCCTGGCCTTGGTAACAACATCCCACGTGGCAAGACAAAAGCCATGCACAATGGGAGTCCTCCAAATACTAGAGGCTGGGAGTCAGCCAGGACCCTGGGAAGTCGTCTGATCATTTCTCAGCATAGTAGGTAGATTAGTGATCAGGGCCCTACTGCTCCACCACCTGAGTCTCACTCCTGGTGAGTCTCCCACTTGTCAGATGGAAGAACTTGAGCAATTCATACAACTTCTCTGAGCTTCGGTTTCCACACCTGCAAAGTCAGAGTGTTCCTGCCTCACAGGAGTGACGTGACCATGATGAGCTGATCCATGCAAAGACCTGGAGCAGAGCCCGCACACAGAAGGATATCCTCGGTGCGTGTGGCCGTAACACACTTGCTCTGCTTCCTGGAAGTTTGCTTCTGTATGTTCCTTAACCAGCTGTGCCTGCTGAAGCTCACGCTGACTTTCTACAGAATGTCTTTCTCTACAGTGGTCCTAATCAATCACTCCCTACTGCCTTGACCCATTAACAAGTATCTACTGAGCACCTATCAGGTGTCTAAACCCCTAGTGGGAGGGGGGCAGTTTCAGAAACATCATTAGAAGGTAGCCCACTAAACACTGAAAATGAATTCAATAGCCCAATGTGATCAAAGTCACCCTATTTCTTTTCCTGTTACCATCCTGTTTTCCCTGAAGCTGAGAAACTCATGATGATATCTTTCAGTAGTGGTTGAAAGAAGACTTTCTGAGAAACGGTTTAAAGCTTTCTGGGCTTAAACATTCCCACCATGCCCATTAATTTCACCCAAGCACTGCTTGGGTGAGGTGGTACCAAGATGCCTGTTGCCCCAGTGTGAGCCTGTTCAATTGCACCTATCCACCCTCTAGAAGGACACTCTACCTTTCAGACATGGAGGGGCATCCTGTCCAATGGTAGCAGGGAGCAGGGGACCCCTGTTTCAAGCTGGAGCAGTGAGGCTGCTTAGGAAAAGGAAAGCTGGGCCTAGTTTAGCCTGACATGCCCCCTAGACTCTGACCTATAAGGGCGCCTGTCTGTAGACAGAAGGGGCTAGGAGAGGGCATTGGCAGTGTCCAATTGGGGGCTGCCTGTCACCTTGGTGGGCTCATGCACAGACGTTCCTGTTTCAATCACAGATGGTCAACCCCAACCCCACCCCAACTTCTGGACAGTGGTTCTTCATGGTGCCACATTCCCCGCTCCCCATCTCCTGCACCAGACCCCCAGAGGTATCTCCAGGTTGTCGGGAAGTTCACTCACCTCCTGCCTGTGCTCATTTGGCCCAAAAGAAATGAGAAACTGATTGACAAGGGAAGAATCTGAAATGCATTAAGCACCTGTGTTCCTGTTCCCTCAACACCCATTATCTTCACTTAATCCTTAGAAAAGTATGGGAGGCAGCTATGATCATCCCCATTTTGCGGGCATTTTTACAAACTTGAAGCTAACACAGGTGGTGTAATGATCACCTGCTAGCAAGTGCCAAGCTGGCCATCAGACCCAGTCTGCCTGCCCGTGTCCCTTTCTCCATTCTGAGTCGCATTCTTTTCCTCTCTTCCCTGCTCTTCCTTTCACATCACCACACACATCACTAACAGCTTTGCATACGGAAGGCAGTTAATAAAAGCTGGCTGCTCTCCAGGGAGTGGGTTATCCCATGTTCCTTAGGGATAACCTATCTTGCTCCACATATGAGCAGTAGCTATCTCAAATCTGGGTGTGGGAAAGCAGCCCTCAACTCACTACCCTCAGGCTCAGTGACCCAGACCTCACTGGACCCCTGAGCGTCTCCTGTGAAGGAAAAAAATGTGGATGCAAGAAGATGGGATCTCAGATGACCTGGTAATATGCTGGTGATCCAGGGCCAACAGCACCTGCCTCCCCCAGGAGCTTGTTAGAAATGCAGGCTCTCCAGCCTGCCCCAGACCTATGGCCAGAATCTGCATTCTAGTACAACCCCCAAGTACCTGGTGTACACATTCAAGTTTGACGAGCTCCCCTTGACCTACAACTTGGGAGCTCATCAAACTTAGGGGCTGTGTTGCCACCGTTTCTCTTAAAGGGGGTGCTATCATGGGTTCTGGCTGTGTCTCAACTAAGTGAAGTCAGGCTGACACAGAGCTGGGGACTTGTGCAACAAACCCTGCCTGTAAGGCCACCGCTGGGATGCAGTACTGTGAGGATTCCCTGCAGCGGGCAGCATTCACTGCCTTTCGGAATCTTCCCATCCCCACACTTGGTCACCATGGGTGACTCTGAAGGGAAAAAAGAACCCATCCCCCCTGACGGTGCTATGAGGCATTGGCCAATAGTTTGTGTCACTGTTTCCTATGAAACAGGGGCTCTCATTTCTGCCCTGGTGTGTCAGCTGCCTCGGCTACTGAAGACTTCACCTAGCAGCCCCAGCTTTTCTCAGTCCTTGCCTGGGGGATAAGGACACAGGCCCCTGAAAGTAGCACCAGGTGACCCACAACCACTATGGTAGGGACCCAGAGACAAAGAGGGTCTCAAAGACATCAGAGCCAGGGGCAGAGCACAGGAAGGCAGTAGGGAGTCTATTCTTTCTTTCAGTGACACCATCTAGGGGCTCTCCACAGGCCTCACTCTTCGTCCCAGGAAAAACAGAAACCAGGAGTTGGGGACAGGGCGCTGCCTGGCACAGAGCCGGGAGACTCTCTCACACCCAGACCCCTCCCTCACATCAGTCTCCTCCAGAGCCCACCAGAGCCCAGGCAGCAGTGTGAGAGGCGGGGACTCTGTAGCCTGAAAGAGCCTCTCTTGAGGTGGGGGAGACATGGGATCCCAGATGACCTTACCTGGACTCCAGAGGAGCACCTCCCCTACCCCTCGCCCACGCAGGATTTTGGGGTCAGGGTTAACTCCTCCCGATCATTTCTACCCACACCCAGGAAACCTTTCCTGAAGCTACAGACCGCCACCTCTCCCCTCTCCAACGCACACAAACTGTTTTTTCTCCTAGGGCTAGGCAGTCCCAAAGACACAGGAACAGAACAGGTACACAGGGCGCAGAGCACGCAGGAAACTCACCCCAGCATCACCCAAAGCCCCCCAACCCCGACCCCCTCCCGGACTTCTGCGGAGAGGGGCCGTGCACTACTCTTTGGCACTCAAGGGACAGTGAATCGACAGCCAACCCGCGGGCTACCAGGCTAGGGGGCTTAAGGACTGGCCAGTCCCGCCCCGTCCCTGCTTAATCCTAGGTCCGAAATAGCCCCGGGTAATCCAGGGATTGGGCGGGAGGGGTATTAACCCGGAACTGGGAAGGAAGACAGGGAAGTATCCTAGGGGAGGAGGTCTCGGCGCGTCCCGGGCAGAAGGCAGCTCAGAGTCTCTTGGAGTTGGAGGCGGGGAGGGAGGCGGGGGTTGCTGAAACCCAAAAAGTAACCCAGGCCAGTTCGAGAGCTGTTTCTGTGCCCACCGGGGCCACTCTCCACCGGGTCCCAGGTCTCCGGGGCAGGAGTTCTGGCCCCAATACCCAGAGCCCTAGCTCTGCGCCCTAAACAGTCCCCCGCCCCGCCCCTGTGGCGAGGTCGACCCTGCATCTGAGCGCCCTGGATAGCTGAGCCCGAGTCCCGAGCCGTCTGTCTGCGGAGAGCCGGGCCGGTAGGAGCGCTGGGAAGCGCCCTAGAGTGCCCTTCCGAGGGAGTCTAGTCCCTGCCTGAAATGGAGCCCCAGGTCAGGGCCGCGACCCTGCGAGAGGGTCCTCGGTTGCGCCTCAGGGTCTCGGAGCGGGCGGGGTGCTGGCCGGAAAAGCACCCTCCCTGCCCGGCTCGGAGAGGAAAGGGGCCCCTCAAGTAGTTCGCGCGCCCCCGACACGCTCGTCGCCCCCAGTCCCTGCTTACTTGTCGCGGAGCCCGCTGACCTCCGAGCTGGCGCCGACAGACTGAGGACCGAGGCCCGGGTCTGGGAGGCGGGCGCACGCGGCCAGGTGTCGCCGGTGCCACTCCTGCAGGCCAGCGTTCTCGCGGCTCAGCCGCGCCACTTGGCGCTCCAGCTCCTCGATGCGCCGTCCCCGGCGCGCCAGCAGCTCTTGCTGCGCCGCGACGATCCGGGTCAGCTCCCGCAGGTACTCGGCCGCCTTTCCTGGGGGTTCGGCGGCGCTGGCCATGGTCCCTGCCCGGTGGCCGGCCGCGCCTCAGGCGAGCGGGAGGCGGGGCGGCGTCGGAGGCGGCGGTGGGGCGGCCATGGCTGCGCGGCGGGTACAGTCCCTCGGCGCAGCGCGGAGCTCAGCACGGGGCTGGCACGGCTCCGCCTCGGCTCCCACCTCCGCCGGTGCCCACCCCCGGCGTCTCCACACCTCCAGCACCGCGCGTAGCGATGCTCCGCTGCCCCACGGAAGCGCCGCGGCTGGGAGATCACGAAGCTGTGGCCACCGGGGGCAGGCGAGGAGTTTGCAAAGTGCCGGCTGCGAGGCAGAGCGGGAGTCGGAGCGGCCGGAGCGGGAGGAGGTGGGAGGCAGGAAGGGAGGGAGAGTCGGAGGGAGGGCGCCGCCTGCCGGCCCTGCATCCCCCGACCTGCTCCGGGCTCGCCGGGAGCTGTTATCTCATCACCACCACTCCTAGCCACTCTGATATATAAATTTAATAAAAAAAGAAATTCGGCAAAAATATATCGTCATAATAATATCAGCCTTGGGTGTGCATAGGAAAATGACTAATAAATTCGTGAGGACTTGGATATTTTTAATTGACCTAAGTCTACCCAAATGAAGGTATGTTTTGTAGATGCATACACATGACAAGTGTATTCTAGACTGGCCTTTATACATTCTAAGCAGATGGTAGCCCTAAAGCCTCCAAGACGTCCAGGTGAACCAGTTGCTAAGGCCCCGGCATCGACCTTCCAAAACTCACACCCTGGATTCTGGGAACTGATCAGCTTGTAGGACAGGGACGCCGGCTACCTCCACACTGGCATTGAGGCCTTTGGCATTTTATTTTGTCTCTAAGCTTCAGTTTCCTCAGCAATATATTTTCTATTTCTTAACCTTTAAAACATCTTTATAATTTTCATACTCAAATGTCTTTGGTACTAAACTTTATTTTTCTACCTTCTTGACTTGCAAAGTTAGGTATTTCATTGTTTCTTGTTTTATAGCAAATTCATTTTAAGGCTATAAATTTACCTCTGGGTGAAGCTCTAGGTACACCTCATAAGTTTCTAAAGCTTTGTAATGTACATTTTCATGATAGCTTTTCTTTGTTAAGGCTGGCATTACACTGGCTTGGATGATACATGGTATACCATACCCATATTTGTTGACATCCCTGCCCCCACCCCCACCAGGAGAGGATAAGCCCTGCATGCTGAGACCTCAGACCTGACAGGGGCCCTAAACCCTTATTGACTGTCCCCTGGGCAGCACCTATGGGGAGGGAGAGAATGGTAACGGGACCATTTGGTGGGGTCCTCAAATTCACTAAGAACTCTTTCATCAGGATGAGATTAAACCAACACCATGCTAAATAAAAACTCTTAACACTTAACTCTAAACTTCTCCCTCATCACTAGGCCAATAATAGTGCTCTAGAAATTAATATTATTTTTATAAATCCTGTAATTATCTTGTGAGGGCAAAATTACATTACATCTTATTTGTGTGTATTTCTATAAAGGTGTTTATCAGTTCAGTTTATAAATTTAAAGTATGCCAACATCTTTGCAACCCTATACTAATATTTCCTCATTATATAAATATACCAGGAGCCTCCCAAAAAGGGATGTAGTACAGGCTTCTTTCAATTTTGGGAGGACACTTGAACCTGAAGTCACAAGTGGGCTCTCTGCCAATGTTTGGGAGTGAAAGAAATTCAGTTCTTAATCCTGGCCCATGTCAGTGAGGATGGTGGGGAGAGGAGCTGACTGAATGAAGAGAAGGAACAGCAGGGCCTCCCCTCCTGGGGGGGATTTGCCTATCCCTCACTTCCATCACAGACTCCACTCCAGCAGTTCCAGGTTGAAGTTGACCTCACATTTCCATCTCCTTTCTCTCTGAGACTTGCCACATCTCCAAGCAGCAGACAAAGAGCTCAGCTGATGGCAGGTCTATGTGGGTACAGGAGACCTGGATGGGAAGGCTTTATCCCTGTGTCTCAAGAGCAGCCACAACAAGACAGGACAGAAGATGGCAATGGACAGACAGATGCTATGGCAGCCTCAGAGGAACTATACCTACACCCTAGGACTGAGCAGGACCCTTTATGATCTATTTCTCTGCTCCTTCCAGCTCCTATCATCTTAGACAATATGAGAGGTGAGAAGAATGAACCTTCACCAACTTGCCATCTGCCTCCTGTCTTATTTATTTTCCTTGACCTCCATTCCTGGCACTCTGGGGTGTTCCACTTACAGTTGAATTCCCACAGCTGGAGGTTATAAGAGAGTCTGCCACCAGCAATGAGATCATATACACCAGCCTTCCTGGCTCACACACTGAGGCATACCCCAGAACAAAAGTTGACACCTTCCCCAGAAAAGGGAAGTCTCCTCCACAAAGAGCATCAGCCAGTCACTCACTGAGCAAATGTGACTGAGCATCAACTGAGCCAGGCCCTGAGGACACTGAGCATGACAGAAGAGGTCTTGTTTTCTTGAGGTCCTTCTGAGGAGACATACTCTGAAGGACTGCTCAGAGGCCCCGCTCTTGTGTTAATGCTCTCCTGTCACCATCTCGATTCTTTTAATTTGTGGACAAGAGGTCCGCACTTTCATTTTATACTGTGCTCCCCAAATCATGAGGCTAGTCCCAGAAAGTGTGCTAGTAAGCACTGAAAAACCAGAAGGAAAAAAAAACCCCACCACATATAGCATTTGCCAATTTCCTAGGTGTAAATATTGAATACCATATTTTTCAGACCATAAGACGCACCTAGGTTTTAGAGGAGGAAAATGGGGAAAAAATTTTGAAGCAAAAAATGTGGTAAAATATTTAATAACATAAATAACATAATATTTCACCAATGTAAATGTAAACAGAACTCAACAACAGCATTAACAACCATTATTCCTCTCCAATTTGGGGGGAAAATAATTTTTTTTTAAAAAGTGCATCTTGTAGTCTGAAAAATGCAGTACTTCCCACCCTGGTTGACACAGTGAGACCTCAGTGACTGTGGAGCTAGGCCTAGGTGCATGTGGTGGCGCAGACAAGGATAAGGTGGGGCAGTGGCACATAATAGGTGCTTCACCTGTTTGAGATTCAATGCAAACCAAACAGTAATAATAATAGCATCTGCAGCAGAGTTTCACTTTTGGGTCAAAGAAGTTGAGAGCTGGGATCAAAGCTTCCCACAGGCTAGAGAGCACTTTCCACACCAGCGTTCACCATATGGGAAAGGAGGAGTACTGAAATGCCTGCATACCTCTGCCCCACAGGCCAGACTTTAAAAGATGGTACAGTACAACCTGCCTTTCACCAAACTCTGTTGCCACATATTGGAGTCTCCCTGGCTTTGATCCCCACTCCTGTCCTTCAGATGTGATAACTGATCTCTCTTCTGTACAACTGAAATCTTAGCCACCCAGATATCTCTTATGGTCTCCCCACATGAGCCCATGACAAGAACACTGGTAGTCTGAGTGGCAGAGGTGGACAGGGAGGGATAAAACAGGATGCTTTAATGTGACTGACAAAACAAAGCAGTCAACACAAATTTAGATGGTACAATGGAGACACTGTCTCTTGTCTAAATTCCACAGTGTATGATGAAGGAATTAGAACTCTGTAGCAGATGCTGTGGTGGCTGATCAGACTCCCACTTCAGGATGAGGCTCTCATCCTCCATGGATCAGGCACATTAGCGTCTGACAGCTCACAACCAAAACCAAGTCCCTCTTGGGAAATTGCCCTGTGCTGATGGCATCGCTCCCCCTAAATATTATGCCACCACCTTCCTAGGGAAGCCTTCATCTGTGACTGATACATGCAGGATCTTGTACAAGAGCTGATCCCCCTCGACTAAGCTTGGACAGCTCTGCAGCAGCATCCCAACTCTAGAGGTCTTGAGAGGAGCCCCTGAGACTTCTGTTGGGATTGCTCCACAGCCCAACTCTTCTCTCTGCCCAGTCCTGCTTCTTCCCTCCTCCACTGGTGCTGGCCCCAAGAGCACTCTCCAATAACATTCCTGCATGCAAACCTCCATCTCAGAATGTTTCCCTGGAAACAGCCCCACACCCTCTTCCCCTGACCCTGTCTTCACATCACGGCTTTTACCTTATCAGGATCTATGGGTTTACATGCTGTTATATAACTAGTCACAGTCTCCCTGCTTGGTATGTAAATAAATTCTTGGCTCTGAAAAACCAATAATTAGCTCTTCCAATATTATAATTACATAAATACAAGGCCAAGCAGTTTAAATTGAACTGCAGAGTAAAAAGATATAACTATGCACTCAAAAGGAAATAAAAATAACAAAAAATTTGGAGAAGGGTAAGAAGAAACATATCACTTATTAATATTTACTATTATTATCCACATTCAGCTTCTCAATAAAATAATCTATCTTTATAGTATCATTTTTTGTACAATATTCAATTTTCTTCTTAAAAACCTTCCTCTGAGAGCTCTTTGATTCATTGGTATAGTTTGGGCTGTCTGCTTCCTTGGTCATCTACACCACTATCATTGGAGATTTCTTGGCATTACACTTCAGGTTTGGATCCACAATTTCTCAGATTTTATGAATCTCTTTTCTTGGATTCATTTTGTATTTTGCCATGTACATCCTCCTGCAGTTCTACCCAGAGATAGCCTGAGGAAAGACCCTTGAGTCCTGTGTATCCGAAAGAATTTATTTCTCCCCCACACCTGATGGGCAGTTTAGCTGGACATAGAATCCTAGATTAAAAGTTAATTTCCTTGGGATCTGGCAGGGTTTGCTCCATTTTTCTCTGTCACCCAGTGCTGTTTATGCTAATCTGATTCTTGTTCCTTTGAAGAGGAGATTCTTTTGGGTCAGGTGGTAAAGGTACTTCTTCCAATCAGGACATTTAGAGATATGGTGAGAGGCATTTTTGATCATCACAATGACTGGGTACTCTCTGGTATTCAATGGGCAAAAGTCTGGAATACAATGGGCAGGAAAGTCCCACCCAACCAAAATTTTCCTACTTAACTTGCCAAAAAGAATAACTAAGTTAGAGGACTCACACTACCTGATTTCAAGACTTAATATAAACTAAGAGTAATCAAAACAAGTGGTACAGTGTAAAGATAGACATAAAGATCAATAGAATAAGAGAGTCCAGAAACAGACTCACAAACATATTGTCAATTGTTTTTCAACAAAGATTCCAAGGCAATTCAATGAGGGAAAGTACTGTATAGTCTTTTATGTTAAAAGACAAAAGTGTTGC